ACATTTTCAGTTTGTAAACTACATATATTAAACATGTAAGTGTAGTGTATGTTTTATGAATTTCAAATAGCAACCACACGAACCAAAAAGAATAAATTAGATTTTCTTTAGATCAATAGTATGGAGTCATTTTTCAAATACAAGCTTTCAAATACAAATACAAACTTTTGTTTTAGATTAATGAAAAATTATTTTTGAATTGATAGAGAAAAAAAAAGATTTATTCGTAATTATTGAATTTAAACATGAAGAAGAAAAAAGTGTGATTAGATCAGATTCTTAATATTTTGATGAAGGAGAAGAAAATAATTGAAGAAGAAAAGAAGGAATAAGAAAAAATAAGAGGAATGGGGAGAGGAGATGACCAAACAAATTGTTGAAGAGGAATAGATCAGATGACCGATGAAGTGGAAGGCATGTCTGTAAATTTGAGACATTGCAGCCGGCGACGTCGTTTCTTCATTTGCAGCTTCTTGATTTGCAGCCAGCTGCTACTTTTCTTGATTTGCCTCCAGATGATATGGAGGTCGATTCTTGCGCGGATGATGTGGATGATGTGGATGATATGGATGATATGGATGCTATGGATGATGTGGATGATATGGATGCTATGGATGTGGATGCTATGGAGGTGGATCCACAATGATATGGAGAGAGTTGGTCTTACGCCGCCGGAGCTGCCGGCGGTTGATTTCCAATACTTCTACTACATAGATTACACTTCTACTACATAGATTACTCTGTTTTTCTTTCCTACTGCATATGGGCGTACTTTTTTAGCACCTATATTTTGACATCTATTATTACTCTGTTTTTTTTTTCTTCTCAATTTAACAATGATGTAACAAAATGATGTATAAATTGGTATGGAGTAGTTTTTAGGTTCACTCTGCAACTTTTGGGCAAGTATAAAAGATATTCTATTTTGAAATTGAATTAACGTTCATTTTAGATGTTATATGAGCTATGAGATCTATTGTTCATGGATAAGACATGTGTTTTAATTTATCGGTTTAGACATTAAGTAGTTCATTCATGGACTTACATCAATTGTATAAATGATGTTAAAACCCAAATTTGACCTATGTAGGAGTAGATTCTGATTTGTACTAGTAATTACGGTTAATTGCCGTATTATATTAGTCCATGATCGATACATACGCATAAGATAAAATCTAAAATGACTCAATCCACAATTGCGTATTACATGTATATATAGGATTAAACTTTAGTGCGTGTCATCATTACAAGAATCGGGGGCGTGTATTTTGGTGTAAATAAAGTAACACATTGCAATTAAAATATAAAATGTTCAAGTTGAAGATATCACACACAAGATCAGATAAGAAATATATATTGAAAGCACACATGCATGAAACATATATATACTAGTACTCGTACTTCGTATAAGATAAAAACGAAGAAGTATAGAAAGTACCCATAATTACACATGCAAATTAAAACTTAGCTTATACAGTACATGACGGGCACTTCGATCGACTACAGATATTTGAAATACAAGATTCAGAATACCTCAAATTAAATATATATAAAAAAAGATTAATCGATATGTCAAGATTAGAAAAAGAGAAAAAATCAATGGGAAAATACGGAATACCTGATGAATTCCCAAGCAATGCCTTTTTTCTTCCCCTTCGGAATACCGCAATAAAAACTCTGATCTGATCTTGGCGTACGTACGTACAGTAGATCGAGTTATTTCTTCGATCGAGTCATTATATTTATGGAAGGGAAAAAGGTAGCCGTTGGATATAGGTTTCTTCCTAGTGACAAAACGCTTGTCAAGGATTTCCTTTTCCCAAAGGTCAACGGTCTGGAATTTTTGCAAAGTCTCATCCATGAAGCGGACGACGTTTACCGGCAGTAGGAAGATCGGAAGTTTACACGGTCCACCGGATATTGAAGAAGACCGGCCGCCGTTAACCATATATAGCAAGAAGGAAATTTAGACCAGAAATTAACGTGCATGGTGATCGATGCCTTGCGAGAAACCACCAAACCGGACGTTACGTTACACGGCCTCACTCACTGCACTGGATGATGCCTTGCCAAAAACCCAGACAGTTAACCATGGAAGAAGGAAATCGTTGAAAAGTGTTAACCTTGGGACGAAGCATATAGCCAATGGGAACGTTCTTTCCCTTCCGGCCGCCATTCTAAGTTTTCAAAAGATACATGAAGGGTTTAATTATAAACGCTTGGGATGGATTTATATATGGGATGGGATTTCTTTCTAGGTTTAATTTCTTGCATGCCACTACAAGAAAACACTTTGTGAGTTTGTGGGCGCAATAACTAAACTTAGACTAATTAAAAAAAAATGGGCTTGCTTTGGAACCGTCGAACTTTACTTTCTTTTAATGTTTCAATACGTGTATTTTGAACACTTTTAATTAGGATTATATACGAGTATAAGAAAAGACTGCTGCTCTAATTAAATTTGGGGCTGAAATGATTGAATTGCCCCCGAGCTTTTGTGTTCCAAATATCAAGCTTCCTACCCTTAATAACCATTTTCTATGTTCAAAAGTGACACTATAAATTCATTCAAATTTTAAATATATATATGTTCATTATTGTTCGGTAAAATTTATTTTTCTCATTTAAATGATGAATATGTGATTCATGAGCACGATTGTATGTTTTTCATATAACTCATTATTTATATTTTACCAAGATATTGCCCCTTCTTATATGCTAGTGTATTTTGGTGTTAAAAGGAAAAAAGACAGGATAGATATATCAAGTAGCTTTTCCCTAAAGACTTGATGGAGGTGATGCCTACAATTTTCTTACTTAAGTCTTGATTTGCATCGTTTTACTCCTCGTTAGCTTCATCACCAGTATTAACAAAGTGGTAGGACTAAAAGTACTACATTATATTTTTTCTCTTCAGAGATCTAGTATATCTTGTTACTGTTTTACACACCGGTATATCTTTAGCTTTTTTAAATAGCAATTGTCATATATCTCTGAGTTCTTGATTGTCTATCCTTAAGTATTGCATTATTTTTTGCAGGTTAAAGTGAAGAACTATGAGACGTAAAACCAGGGAAAAGAGAACATGTAATTGATGGATAATATGTGGAAGAATTGAGGCAGTCTTATTTTGATCATTACTACCATTTATATGATCGAGCAGAGTTTGGACACCTAGAGAATTAAAGGAGATGAGCACTTTCATATAGTAAAGGAAATCGCAGCAGAAAATCATAAAAAGATGAGAAAGAACTAGTATAATCAGTCGGGAATGTGAAGAAATGGAGTATATTATAATAGTTCTTATTGGTAGAATGGTTTCCAGATCCTCCCTCACCTCACATGAAGTATAAAGTTGAAGAAATAGAGTTGCATGATGCCATCCATATACTCCAGTTTAATATCCAGTTGGAAGAAAATATATTTATGTACTTTGATGTTTTGTATTTTATTAATTGTGTGCGATAAGTTTAGTTTATGTATTTCAAAGCATATCAAGTGATATAAATGTCTTATTTTAAATACAAATGTGATCCCGATTACAAATGTATAACTCTATTTATAATTAAGTGTTGCCTAATTTGAAAAAAATGTTACATAAAGAACTCATGTAAGTGTTACATAATATAAATTAGTGTTACAAAAGAATATAATAGTTGTGTTACATAATTATAAGAAATATGTTGCATAAAAGTACATTTAAGTGTGGCATTTTATTATAAAAAGTTGCGTATGATGTCACTAAAGTGTTGCAAAAAAGTGCTGCATTTGAATAACTTATGCAACACTTTTATTCAATGTTGCATAATATGATAAAAAATGTTGCATATGACTTTATGCAACAAGACTTGATGTAACACCTTCAACAGTGTTGCATATACTTTTTGTAACATTATAATTAACGATCTAAAGTAACATATTTGACATGTTGCAAAACGTCCATTTTGTTGTAGTGACGGTTGGGAATAGGGTGCGATGAATCCTCGAAGAAGCTAGATATCTACGATCAATTTCCGGCGAAACCCTAGGATGGATTGGAAGAAGAATGAAGCAATTGAACGAGGATGAAAACGCCCAGGAAGCAAAAATTGTGCAACAAAAGGTAACATTGAGTAATTTATTTTATGAAGAAGATTTCGTTCATCTTTGTGCACTATAGACTTTTTGGGAGAGTATTATTTTTTTAGTTCAAATAATGGCTGTCTAAAGTAAAGAATTATGGTGAGTTGTTTCAAACCTTGTAATGAAAAACAAACAAATTGGTGAATGATCTCTTACGTGTTGTATGTAAATTCATTAATTTGGTGCACAATATTTCAAATAAAACAGATAAATTGAAACTGGTTTATTTTTTCCGTGTGAAGTAAAGTGGATGAGAATATCAGTGTGCAGATTTAGAAATTACGTGAATTAAAATAGAGGTGTAGGCTGTGTAGCGTGATTTGAAAGCATAGTACCTGGAAACCTTCACATTGAAATAGATGTGAAATGGAGTTTTGTGGTATTTTTGTGAACATATAGTGCTATGGTGAGAAAGTGCATCATGCACCGCTAGTAAGTGCTTATAAACATTAATGCATGAAATAATTGATCTTTGTTGAAGAGAAAGTGCATTATGTTGTATTTACTTTGAAAATGAATGAATTTGTGATTATAAGTGGATACAGTACATTGCTAAATGAGTTTTGTGATGTTTGTTTGAAGATATAGTGTTGTGTTCAGAGAGTGCATCACGTATTTTATACTAGTATAAGTGCATATAAACATTAGTGCATGACATGCTTAAATCTCTGTTCAACAAAAAGTGTATTGTATATTAATTAAGTTGAAAATTATTGAGTTAGTGATTATTAGTGGATATAGTGCATTGCTAAAATGAGATTTGTGATATTTGTTTGAAGATATAGTGTTGTGTTCAGAAAGTGCATCTCATACTACTAGAATCAGCACACTATCTGCAGTTCTGCACACGATGTAATGATCTCATAACATAATTTTCACTAGAATGTAATTGTGGTTGTGTTCTCCAGAATCTAAGTTGGACTCTAGTGACAATGTTGCATATAATGGTGGTACTATTATCTCAACTCTGAGTAGATATGTGAAAACTGATTTCTTGAATAAATTCTTTATTTATGATTTATGGTCATACTTGATATTTAAAATCAGTTAAGATGTATCCGCCGATTGAGTTCATGCGGCAGTGCTAGCTTTCTGCAATTGCTAGTTTATCGTTTGAGCTTTTTCGTTTTTTCTGGAGAATTTATATCGAAGTGGGGTGAGGCTCCACCTTCATGCGTTATCTTGGCTTACTAAGCCAGAGATTTAGGTGTTTTCTCTCTAGGGCTTCGACTATGTCGGCCGCTGGAGCCTTTTTCTGATTTCGACTTTGTCGAAGATCGGCTTTGCTATCCCTTGGTCGCTGGTGCTCGGCTGGAGTCTAGGTCAGACGTGGAGGGCGGAGATCGGTGGAGAAGGGCGGATTTGCTGTCATGGCTCGAGGAGACCGACGTTGTGGTCAAGGTTCAAGGATGTGGCGTTGCTGTCGTCGTTGGAGAAGATTGGTGCAGCCTATCTGCTTACTCTGGTCGCACGAAGTAGGGATGAGTTTGGTTATGCAGGGACGAAGGATTGATGCATGGTCTTAGGCAGCCAAAGGTTATGGAGGATCAATTAGCATGGTACCGGTGATACGACCTCCTCCTGAACCACCACCATGGGATGTACAAGGTGCTAGAGTCTGTGAATGTTTTTCTTGTAGTTTTTATCTGTTTGTTATTTGTTTTCTTGTGTCCATTTTTGTTGTTGGTTTTGACAGTTTGTTTGAGTTTTTTGTCTCTCTTTATGTCATTGGGTATGGTTGGATCTATGGGAACAGGTTTGGCTGTGTCAAGCCCACTACATGGTTAGCGATTCGTGTTGCTCTCTCAGGGGTGACCGTCTCAAAGTCTCACCATAGGGTTACAGTCGTAGTTGTTGGAGTTTCAGTTGGTGTCAGTTTTATTTTCCCCTTGCTTGATGTAACGATCCTGAATCTTTTGATATGAATAGAGGCCTGTTTTGATGATAAAAAAATCAGTTAAGATGTTTTTAATTGGACTTAAGTTTTCTGATTTGATCTGATTTGCTTGAGTTTGATATAGTAGATGTCTACCTTACATGTACTTTACTATTATATAGGTCTGATTTAGTCTGAACTGGTTCTATCGGATTTGTTTAAGTCTGATCTGGTTTGAGATTGAAATTAATCCAACTCAAAACATTCTTAATCTTTTAAATATCCATTGAGATATATTATTTTAAAATCTAAAATACACTAGGAAATTAGGAATGTACATTATTAGATGACATTCTTATCGATACTAAGGGTTAGAAACACAAAATATATTTGAATATGAGGGTTTTGAATATTGTATCCTCAACTACTCAGCATTAAAACTATATGTATTGAGCATTATTGGAACTTTGCAATTAAAAAAAAAATTAAAATCTCATTTGAGCATCAAGACATCTTTATTGAGTATTATGTTTTGTACTATTGAGCATTGAAATTATGTGAGCAAGCTCCAATCTGATCGCGTTTCGTCGATATTGATATGACATTTAAAAATGAACATAACACCAGTACCAAATCAGTATACACAATTTACAAAATGAGTATCACAAAAATCAAAAGCTCATTTAAAATCTCTAATGTGCTCAAATATTCATTTGTGTATGTTCATTTCTTTTAAACGTTATATGTGTTTGAGTTTAACATAAAGCTCATTTTTATAGCATGCATATATAATAAACAATTTACTAACCAATCCTTATATATAGCAATGAGAAATATAATAATTTTATTTTAAAAATAATTAATGATTTTTCATTCTTGAATTACAAATTTAATCGTGTTTTTTAATAATGTTTACTCATACACATTTATTTTGAACACTATACTCATTTTAGTAGAACACAAAACTCATGTTAGTAATTAGCACACAATAATTAAATAATTAACACATGATATTTAATAAACTCATTCCAACCAATATAATTAAGTATTAATTAAGTATTAATATACTCACTTAAGTATAACATAAAAGTATAAAACTCATTTGTATTATTCACACATGTAATACATTGATTACAAATCAAATTAATATAATTAGCTTCTTATAATTGAGCACATTTTATAGAATTACATTAATGTAATCATGTAATTATCTAAACATGTACATTTAATTTGAACAATATATTCATAATTATTTAGAAGAAGATTGGAACTTTTAACAGAAAAGGGAGAAAGTAAATGTTTTTATTAAACTGTCATTCAATAAAAATTTGAGCAGTTGGCAACTTGGCAAGTAAATAGTAAAAGAAGCTAGTAGGAAAATACACAATACAAAAGAAAAAAGCAGCAGCCTAAAACGGAAGTGTATATACACAAGAGGAGTGTAAATATAAAGGAAATGAAAAAAGAAACAAAAGAAAAAAGAAACAAATGAAGCAAGTCACGTAAAGTTTAAAAGAAAAAAGAGGAAGCAACTAAAGTGATTAAGATCCTTAATTTGCAAGTAATTACAAAAATACCGGATGTACCATGCACATGGTACACCCAGTGGTATAATCTAATTTGCGAATAACAGTGTTAATAAGTTACAAACAAGAATAATGAATTACAGGTACGGCAATACGATCTGATATACATGTTGATGACCAAGAATTCCTTGCTGCCAAAAAGAAAAAGAAAAAAAGGAGAGAAGCTACACAGCTGAGTGAAACACTTGTGAGAGAGATCATAATCCACATATTTAGTCATCTTCCACCAGACAACTCAATAGCATCCTGATTATAGATCGAATCTTCCCCCCAGTCGAATCGTCTCTGCAGCCGCTCATACTCTTGCCTACGGGTTACTTCAACATGTTGCCACTCCTCCCACCTCTCAGCCAACCCCTCCCCTTCCAACATTCTCACTACCACTGACATTGCCGGACGTTCTTCCGGCGATGCTTGTGTGCACAGTAGCGCAACCTGAATCATCATCTCTACTTCTTCTATGTTGTAGTTCCTGTTCAGGTTGCCGTCGACAATAGCATGTAACCTCTTCTCCCTTTGCAGTTTCTTCACCTTCAAGATGACAACAAATTAAATTTATCTTAGCAACCTATTCTATATGAATATCAGAATAACTCCTTCCTAAATAAATTTAGTTAAAATGCCAACTTACGTGATCAAGCAATAACACATCATCTTCTTCTTCAAGGCGGGAGAAGTCTATCGCGCGTTGACCTGTCACAAGCTCTAGAAGCATGATTCCATAGCCAAAAACATCAGTTTTTTCTGATGACTTTCCAGTGGACAAATATTCAGGAGCTATGTGTCCCATTGTTCCGCGTACTTGAGTGGTCACATTTGTCCTTCTAACATCAACCAACTTCGCCAACCCAAAATCACCAACAACAGCTTCGTAATATTCATCCAATAATACATTTGCAGCCTTGACATCACGGTGGATGATTTTTGGGTTACAGTGTTCATGTAGATACTCAAGCCCACGTGCAGTGCCCAATGCTACTCGCTTCCTTGTAGGCCATTCTAGAACAGCATCCCCCGGTTTACGTTCTGAAATTGTATCCAGAGCCTATCAGATCAGTATATATATACTTAAATAATGAAAAGATACATATATACACAGATACATGTATCTTTTCAAAACCGAACTGACCAAAACCTTAGGCATTTCGGTTTACAGTTTAAGATTGGTGCTTTAAAACCGACCAAACATGCCTAAGCCAACACAAACCGTCTGAACTGAAACCCACTCAGGTAGCTCGGTTCGGTTTTCATTTTGCAGTTTCCAAAATAAAATAATGAACAGTACCTCGTAAACGATAGGCAACACTTAAGTTCTGCATAAAGGGGTACACCAGAAGGCGTTCTGTTGGTGTGGTGCAAAAGCCAATGAGCCTTAGGAGATTACGGTGAACAGCCACACTTATCATCTCCACTTCACGGTGGAATGCAGCATCTCCACCTGGACTCTCATAGTCAGTTAACCGTTTAACAGCAATCTTTGTGTTATCAGGAAGCACGCCTTTGTAAACTTTCCCAAAACCTCCCTGTCCAAGGACATTCTTTTCATTAAAGTTGTCTGTAGCGATTTGCAATTCTGTCCATAGAAATCTTTTTAACTGGCCAAATTCTATCCTTCGGTCGACTTCTCCTGAACATAAAAACCCACTATCAAAAAGATATTTATGTTTACAAAGCACTACTGAAGAGGGATATAAATGTATTCACATACATGCATATAGACACATGCATACATACATCTAATGCACATACATATGTATATGTGTGCGTAAGGTGTGGCTTAAATAAAAATAGTCTTCCCTTGAAAAATGGGGAAAAAATTGAAAACAATCAAGAGATACACTTTTACATATTCTTGTTGCACTTTTAATTCTGAGATATGCCTTTTGCAAATGAATGTTGTGGAAAAAATTGCACTTATTTACAATTTTCTCACTTTTTTCCATTTTCTTCTCCTAATTGAACCCTTGGATCCACAAACGAAGGAAGTAAGGAACCCTATTCATTCTCATTATTCACCTAAGGACCATTTTTTATTTGAGAAAAAATGTACACACACATATGTAACTCACATTCCTCAAATCAATTACAAAAAGAAATGCTTATAAATCCAAGAAGCTATACTTATTTCAATGAACTAAATAGAATTGACACAAACCTGCAACATCTACAAAGACCTCACGCATGTAGCCTCTATGTCGGCCCCTCAAGAAGAAAAGGAGTAAACCTCCCAGAAGAACGATAGTCAGAAATCCAACTACAATACCAACAACCATTCCTGTCTTCGATTTACTTGAAGGAACTACAAAGAAAAAGCTAGCTCATAAAAAGGGGCAGACACTGTGTATATGAATGAGTATTTACTTTTCTTGTATATATTTAAAGAAAAAAAAATATTTATATGTGATATAGTGCATAGGTTCATCTAGTTTCAACATATACTTTTTTCATGAAGAATTATAACATATCATAGTATGGGTTAGTAAAGCTCTATATTTGGAAAATACTTCCACAAAAATTCCAATTACCTCTACCAGATTCACAATTATGGCTGATATTGAAGCCGCAATTCAAATGGTTACCGGTAAAGCTAGAACAAAGAAAAAAGATTTTAATATGAGCAATGGGTACAAATGTAAGCGGCTAAGTTCATGTTGCGAATCAGATCTTAATTATTTCACAACACCAGAAATATTAGATGAAATACTTGTATTTGGAGACTTCAAATAAACTTTCAGGTATTTCGCCTGTAAGACCATTTGAATCAAGCTGCCTGCACGAACATCTCAAGAGAATTAAGGAAAAAAAAGTAAAAAAAACATAACATCAGATAATTAAGTAGCAAAAATGTTATATGCCCAACAAGATTAATAACTCACAAGGTAACTAATCTAGAAAGGCTTGAAAGTGATTGAGGAATTGTCCCGGTGAGATTGTTTTGACTCAAGAACCTGCTTGTCGGAATACAATTAAATCATCATACAAAAAACCTCAGCAAGGCACATGAAAGCTTTTATGATTTGTATAATGCGGCTTACAAGGACTGGAGGTTCTTGAGGTTGCCAAGGGAAGCTGGTATTTCTCCAGAAAGTTGGTTGTTTTCTAGGTCCAACATTGTTAAGCTTGTTAAGTTTCCTATTTCTTCAGGAATCTTACCAGTTATGCGATTTCCTTGCAATGATCTTGATATATGATAAATATATTAGATCTGCTCTATAGTGTACTGAACTACTGATACACAAAAGAAAATACGGTTTAGAATTATCAATTGATTACCCAATCAAAGATAATTTATTCCATGCAGTATATATTTATATAGAAACCACAAATATCCAACAAGTTTAGCTAATACCATATACATACATTACACACACACAAATTTGATCAAATAAAAATGATCATTGGGTGAAAATGATAAAGATTCAAAAAATCAGGACAAAACAATAAAAACCACGGTGAAAATGATAAAGATTCAAAAAATCAGGACAAAAGAAGTGCATATCTAAGAATTTAAAGTGCAACTGCGATAACTAAAAGTGCATCACTCATACATGATATTTTTTCATTTTTCATGGGAAGATTACTTTTTAAGTTTTATTTGAGCCGCACCCCACATAGAAACACATATGAAGTATATAACAGGTTCATGGTGCGAAGAAAAGTTCAGCGCAAAACCAATAGATCAAATATCACTATTAATGAATCAAACACTCTTGGTTCCAAGCACATACAGTGTGTTGAGCTTCTTCAAAGCTCCAATTTTTGAAGATAAAATGCCAGAAAATCCCATATTGGACAACGACCTACAAACCACCATGACAACTTATTAGTGTATCGTGGAGGGAACATATCAGGATTGAAGACAAGTTAGCATTTGTTTCACCATGAACAAACTACACCTATAGTATCATATTGACATACTGTCACTTACACCATCATGACATTGGAACTATCATCACATGTGATTTTGGACCATGTGCATGGATTAACTTGATTCGGATTCCAATCTTGAAGCACACTACTAGATGCATTGAGTGACCCTTTCAACGCATATAGTGCATCTCCTTAATAAAGAGAACAAAACAATGTAAAAGCATTACAGGTTGATATCAATACGTTTCTTTGATGAATACAATTTCATTATTTATCTCCGGGAACAACTTGATAAACCCATTCAGAATAAAAAGAATGTAACAATATGCATGGAGAGCCTCCACGAAAGCCCCAAAATGTTTGCCAAACGGCACTTTAAATTTATTCTTAGTGTTAATAAATACAACTAATATAGCAAATCGAATGCAATTATTGAGACTTGCATTTCATCCTAACAGATTCGTATGTTCCTTATGAATCATAGGAATCCTTTGCTCAAACTTGTAGGACCAATGGGTCTGATACCATATTGAGACTATCAACAGGGAGCGGAACATGACTTTATATGTGATGTTTATAATTCTATTTGATAAGTATGAGATAAGTTGAAATCAATATAATCAGTAAGAATCAAACAGATAATATATAATTGACTGGATTTCTTGTGAAAGGTGCAGAGACAGACATAGGTGGGTAATACTCCAGAAGTCCATTATAATACTACAAGAACTTGCAAGTTAGATCAAAATAGCAGGGTACCTTGAGCATCAGGTGAAACCAAAGAGCAAAAGCATGCCAAGAGTAGTACTGCATAGAACAGTATCATTCCCATTTCTGAAGAAGATCCTTTCATTCTTTATCAACACTAATTTCCAGTAATTGGTGCAGCATATGATGTCATCTTCCAAAGCCCATGAAACAAAGCGAACTGCAAACATATGACACACACTCAATGAGCTACCACTAGAATAGACTATTAACCACCAAATGCAAAACTTCTCCAGGTAATTTAACCTTTAAATACCGCATTAAGATAGTTTTTTACATACAAAAGTCATACACAGGGGCTGATACACAGACATAAAGCTAATGTTTCAACCAAATACAACTGCAAATAAAACCCCCAGCAACTGCAATCAGCTCAGCTCTCAGCCCGTTCCATAATTACCCATTTCAAGAAAATCAAATCTCTATATCTACATCCGGTCGAATCAGGAACACTTTTTCAGCTCAGACCTTGAATACTTATAAGATCATCTACCGAGTAGCCAGACTACTTTAGGTAATTACAGAACAAAGAATTGAATTATAAAGATGAAACAGTACCTTAAGTAAGAAAGTGGGAGTGAAAGAAAACCAGAAAAAGGAAGCCTCTTTGCTCGTTTAACTGATCCGCCGTCAATAAGGTATATTTGTTACTCCGTAATCGCTATCTCAATAAACGAAGCTTTCTATCTCTGCCATTATTACAGAAAAATGCAGAAGAGCTTCCCCTCAAGTCTAATGGTGGCGGTCGTGGACTGGAGTTTGGCCCCCACGTTTTCCCACCGTGAGAGCGACTTGTTGGCCAAAATAAAAAAAGAATGTAACTGCGGGCCCGCCTACCAATTTTCCAGCTGACCTCTATTTCCCTATCCATAATTTATTCGCAATTGTTTTGACCAAATTTGATTTTGAAATTCAGCCCTTAAATTTAAAATTACTCATTTAAGAACAAATTTTGTTACAGAGACGGGTAAACGATATGGAGTAGCACTGGCACATGGTTTAGGAGCTCTTTTATTTTTTTTGTTTTGTTTTTTACTATCCCCATCCCCACGGACAAATCACAAAAATTGTGAGCTAAATGTTGGAAGTCATTTAGCTAATTTTAATAAGTCGAATAGAGATAACAGGAAAGAAAAAGCAATGAAAGTACAACAATTAAGGAAATCAACAATTTAGAGAAAGTATTTTTTATCTTGTAAGCTTGGTTTGAAGACGCGTTTGGATATTACTCATTGTCGTCTCGGTTTGTTCTTGAATACTTGCAAGTGACTATTGTGAAACAATCATCCTCTAAAAGTGTTGTTGGAGTAACTTTAGTGTCTAGGTCACTTGAAATGTTGGATTTCTTTTTTAGCTTTTGTTAGAGTATTTTTGCATAGGATTATTAGCTTATTTTATCCCAAACTATTATCAAATTCACAAATCTATCCTACACTTTCATTTTTATCAAAAAAAGACTCAAACTTCATGTTTTTCAACAATTATGCTTTTCTTTTTTGTTTTTTTTACAAAATTAAACATTTTTCCAATACCAATAAGATATAAGCAATACAATTTTGTAAACTTAAAACTAAAAAGAAGTGAAAAAATATGAAATATAAATATAATTTTCTTCTTGATTTTAATTAATTCATCCATTGAAAGTGTAATTGTGAGAAACGTTCATGTTTGAGTCTTTTTTTAATGAAAGTGAAAGTATGGGATAAATTTGTGAATTTCATGATAGTTAGGGATATATTTAGCTAATAATCCTTTTGCATATCTATAACAATAATTACTATTATTGTTATTACTACTATAACTATTACTATTTTAGTTATTATTATTATTATTATTATTATTATTATTATCAATATCAATATCAATATCATAACTATAGCTATAATTGTTATAGTTATAATTACAAATAAAATTTTAATCACATTTACATTTTTAATTATAATTATAGTGATGATGATAATAATAATAATTGATTCATTACAATAATGATAATAATAATGATGATGACGATGACGACGACGATGATGATAATGATGATGATGATGATGATGATGATGATGATGATGATGATGATGATAATAGTAATAATAATAATAATAATAAGGGAAAATGTCCAATCGAAACCGAGAAGAAAGTAACATTTACGATATTCAGAGAAGTTCTAACCTCTATTTGGAAAGCTAGTAGAGGGGCATTGATTAAAGAAATCGGTCATAAGAGGTACATTTTCTCTTTCTATCATGAAACTGATATGAGACGGATTCTTGAATATGGTACTTGGTTATATGATAAAAAACTTGTGATATTACTTGAACTAACAGTGGATGATTTGCCTTTGAAAGTCCCATTATATTTTTTGAAATTCTGAATTCAAGTGCATAATTTGCCTGTGGGTTACTAACAGTAAAGGTGGCAAAAATTATTTGAAATGATATAGGAAGTTTCATTAAGTTAGATGAAAATCAGTTTGATGGACGTTGGAGGGCTTATTTGAGAATTCGTGTTTGCCTGGATATAGGAAATTCTCTCAAAAAGAATGTGAAGGTTCAGAAAGTGAATGAAGACTGTTCATGGATAGATTTTAGATATTATTGGCCATACAAAATAGGTTTTGCCCCCATGCTCTTGTACCATGGTTCAGCCATGGTGGAGCCAATAAATGGCTGATTTTTTAGAGAGGAAACAAGCAGGGGATAAATAATGTTGATGGCTCTGACGGTGAATCTACAATTTCACAACACTAAATCAAGCGGATATAAATCCGACCCCTGGGGTAGGCAGAATCTGAATAGGGGAGACTAAAAAGTGCTAAATGTAAGTGAGTAGAAATTTTGGCAGAGTAACAACAAATGTGCGCGGAGAAAATCAGTTCCCTTTCGATATGTTGGAAGCTAAGGTGATATTTATACTGTAAAGGAAATACTTGGTGCTCAAGTAAAAAAGGTATTATTCTAATTTGGTGGAAACACATGTAATACTTGGCCATCAAGTAAAATATGCTAGTCTAATAACAAGGAGACACATGTGAAGCTTGATTGGCAAGAGAATGAAGACAACTGGCTGATTGGTACAATGCTAACTAATTTGATTCCCTCCGTACTTGATTGCGCAAAGGAGCAACACATGTATGCCTAGAACCTTCTGTGTGTAACTACTAGGGTGACATCAGCCCTAGACAACTGTTATGTCAATCATGTTATCTCAGTTATTATAGCAGGTCTTGAGTATTAACAACAACTAAGTCCACAATGTTCTCATATGCCACAGGCTCCGTGGCGTGGAGCTCGGGGGCAGTACAATAACAAAACGGGGGGGTGACCTTAGTTTAGTCATGTGGAACTTGGATACTAAAATTAGCAAAGTCCATAATCTTATGCGAGTCCCCGGGCTCTAAAGTATTTGAGGTGAGGGATAATGTATTCACTTGTGGAGGGGGTGGCCTCAGATTCCTCAGTTAATGCTCTCTTAGTCCTATGACTTCGTGGAATGCTCAGTTGACTCTAAGTTTAGTCATAGTGTTGATTTTGGCGTTAACCCCAACAAGTGGGGAGCTCAGGCTCAACTACAGTTTCAGACTTATCTCGATAATCTGAGGGTTGACTTTGGGATCGAGCTCGAAGGACACAGGCTCGGGTGTAAATACCGACTTCGACTACTCGGCCTCGACCTCGATGGTAGCTTTGTTTTTAGTAATTTCAGGAGATTGTTTATCCATAAATGTTTGATACCCCTAGGGTATATGAGAGTATACTCCATCACAAGTCAATGTCCTACTAAATACATTTGAATAGTCAATACTCAAGTTATTTTGAATTAATCTCTCAAAAAATGCAGAATAATAGGCTAAACACGAATAAAGTCAATATTCATAAAAGGGGTGGCCATAAAATTTTTGTCCCAAGTTTGGACTGCTCTTTACTGTTCGTAGTTTGGGCTCAACATTGTGATGACAAGAAGATAAACCACATCTTAACTTATTGAATTATTTCTTCACTATTGTTGTCGTACTTTTAATTGTTCTCTGGTGCGACCTCGTATTCGTCTTCTTCGGTCAATCTAGAGACTTAGGAAAGCAGAACGAAGGAGTACAGATGACAGAACATAAGCGACATCGAGTGGATGATGAGACGGCAGCAAAAGCGCACATGATACTACTAGAGCTGGAATCAGATGACCGAGAAAATGGGGTTAGACTGTTAGAGTGAGCTCTAGATGACAGGCTTACAGGGAAACTTGAAGACATGCTATGCGAATGCGACTTGCACATTTTTCTTTTCTGTTTTTACTTTCATTCTCGGACAGTATCAGTTTTTTATTTCTATTACTCCGTATGTTTTTGTTTTGCTTAGACATGACATTCTGGTGGTTTTCAAACTAACATTAAGCAAACAATGTTAACATTACCCATATACAACAAAATACAAGACTAAGAATATGAGATTTAACCACAGCCTAATACCAAACAAATGAACATTAAACAAACAACGTTATCTTGCACCAGACAACTCAATTGCACTTTGTTTATAGGTTGAATCTTCACTCCACTCGATTCGTCTTTGTAAACGGTCATAATCTTGAATACGAGTCACTTCGACATGTTGCCATTCTCTCCACATCTCAGCAAGCCCCTCCCCTTCTAACATTCTTACAACATTTGACATCGCAGGTCGTTCTTCAGGTGATGCTTGCGTGCATAGTAGTGCAACCTGAATAATCATGTGTACTTCTTCTATGTTGTAATTTCTCCTTAGGTTACCATCTACAATATCATGTAGTCTATTCTCTCTTTGCAATTTTTTCACCTGCAAATGACGAATCTATGGGTTTGGCAGTTCTTGCTATAAGGAATATGTATAGGAATGAAAAATCAATAGTAATAAATATATAAAGTGGAGTAGCATTTTTGTGTTTCTGTCAAGCTCACTTTAGAGACTTCACCAACTTCTATAAAATAGTAGTAATATATAAAGTAGTATTTAAGCCTTTTTGCGCATAAATACAAAATATTTCAAATTTACCTAAAATAAGACTATTTTAAACAAATTAACGGCATCTTTAATTTTCCAGCTTTTTTCAATAAATCATGCCATGTATGTGATAATAAAAATAAAAAAATTAATAAGAATGCTAACTTACTAGATCAACCAATAATACATCATCTCCATCATGGCGAGAGAAGTCAATGACACGTTGACCTGTAACGAGCTCAAGAAGCATGACTCCATAGCCAAAAACATCAGTTTTCTCTGATGATTTTCCAGATTGCAAGTACTCAGGAGCAATGTGTCCCATAGTACCACATACTTGAGTTGTCACGTTGGTCTTTCCAACATCTACCATCTTTGCCAACCCAAAATCACCCACAACAGCTTCAAATTCTTCATCCAATAATACATTTGCAGCCTTAACATCACGGTGAATTATTTTCGGATTACAATGCTCATGTAAGTACTCAAGTCCACGCGCAGTGCCCAATGCCACACGCTTTCTAGTAGGCCAGTCCAGAACAGCCTCCCCAGGTTGAAGTTCTAAAATTTATTTCAGTAAAAAAAAGACCCAAAATAATACTCCGTATAATTATTAGTGTTGGCAAGAAATAAAAAACTGAAATTTATGTTTAGCCTGCATAACACTTGAATAACCTCCATTTCATTAGAGCCTGTCAAAATTCACTCACTACATTTGCTCCTAAAGGAGCAAGATGATTTTATTTTAATATGTCCCAGGTCAAATTTTTACTAGATCTAATATACAAGTTACTACGTATGATAAATCTCACCCCGTAACGATGTTAACTTTTGGTGTGAGTTAAGTCTAATTTC